GTGTGTGTGTGTGTGTGTGTGTGTGTGTGTGTGTGTGTGTGTGTGTGGCAGGAGACGGTTACATAAATATCCCCTCGGTCCAGGCTGTGTGACGTTCTTCCGGCTGTGTGTGACGGAGGTTTCTTGTGGTCCGGCCGACGTTTTCTGTTGCCTTTCTGACTGCACACCAATCGTGTGCATGAATGCATTCACTACAGAGTTAAATGAATCATCCAGCATTCTCACTTTTGCATCATGGCATTGAACTGGTAACGTCTTGGAGCAGCTAGTGATACGAATCACTGTGAGTTACCCAGAAGAGCAGTCACCACATCTTATCTCTCGGATACCTGTAGTTTTATTGGCGCATCGTCTGCACGTACTGCTTCAGACATTACGTGGACGTGATGACACTGAATTTGAAGCCTTCCTTGTAGAGACGGTTGTTACCTGCGTGATGTTATTTGGAGTTAAAATGAAGCCGTGATAGAGGGTGATAGCCAAGCCCTATTTTCTACAGAGTGAAACACAATAGTATGAACACACACCTCTTGTTCCACTGATAAAAGTGCTGCACTTCCTTGAGATAACGGTTTTTACATTTGAGTAAACAGCAACTCCCTCAAGGAATCGGACACATGGCCCACAAAGCACCTGACTACCTGCAGTCACATGATTCTGACTTACCAAGTTCAGAAGAAACAAGAGCGCATATTCTAAGGAAGTACCCAAGATTTACATCAACACTATATAAATTGTAATACTGTATACATACCAACATTATATAACAATCGTAATGTGTTAATGTTGTGTTAAAATTTGTATTAATATTGTTTTTGATGCTTTGGCAACATTGTGTTAATCACAATGTATTGTGAAATTAAAGAAACTAAAATCTGTGCAGTAATGTTTATGCGGCATAACGGAGAGAATACACAGTACACAAGAGATCACAATAGTTGATGATGGAATAAAGTTATAATATTTTCACATTTTGCCGTTGCAACCGGACGTTACGTAGCTTCTTCACACCAGAGACAGTTATCTGCAGCATTGTGAATATACCTTTATGAAAACTGTGTTCATCCTTTAAACAGTAACTTCTTGCTGTATTCCCGTGCATGGTGTCTTGAAACAGGTTAGACTTACATATTGTGTTTTTACACTGGGTGTGCATGTGTTGTAATGACTACGTGTACACTGATGGCTTAGTCACAACTTCTTCTGAATCAGCAACAACACATGACTTGTGATGAGAGCAATGAGTGTGTCACAAAGAATCACATGAATGTAGAAATAAGCTTTTCCTTCCCTTTGCGCCATTTAGTCATTTCTCTCTTTCTCCTCTCGAGGCTAAAAGTAGGCTAATTAGCTGAAGTGACTTTCAGCTAATTTCAGTTTCAGTTGAAAAGGCCAAACAACCAACCAATCATCAACAACAGAGATGTTGAGAAGTTTGACGTATTCCGCGTGAAAAAAAAGCATAAAAACAACGAATCGACGAAAGAAACTTTAGTCGACTAAGACCAAAAACGACTGATTTGTCCAAAGTACTCCAAACTGCCTCTTTGGTAGTTCCCAATGCAGTAGGCGTCTCCAGACCAGGACCACATTGTGCTGTCCGTCGGCACCACGAGGAGCAAAACATCCAGAATTGTGTGCAACGCGGGCCGCGTTTGAACGGGACATGCAGGCCTAAGTAGCTCTTAAGCCAGAGCTACTGCGTGCGTGCGCAGTTTTTTTTGTAAAACCATATCTTTACCATGACCCTGTCGTTCTGAGAAGTGTGGTCACTTAAAATAGCCCTGATAGGAACCCGATGACAGCCGCCCATCTTTACAGAAGTCTGGCAGGCCTGCAGCATATACACACACACACAACCATTATTATATATACGTGTATATATAAGCAACTAAAGTACTGAGAGCACATGCAAACTTATCCAACTCTTTATGCCAGTAACATGCAGCGCAGCCATGTGATTGTCACACAAACATGACAGCCTGAGATTGATGAAGGATCCACATGACACACCGGAGTTATGAAAGCATGCAGTGGAGGAAGGATATCACGTGAAAAGTCATGCTTTTTATTTTATGTGCTGCATGCTACAGTGCAGGCTCAAATTTGCCAGCTTTATTCCATCTGATTTGGGTTTTTTGGGATCTTACAAAGTAGTGTGTAAAAACAACACACGCTCCCTCCTCCTCGTTCCTCAGCACAAACACAGCTATATTGAGTTGCATGGCCCGGGGTCAAGAAGGAAGTTTCCTCACAGGGCAGCAGCCAGGAAAACCAGTCTGTGTGTGTGTGTGTGTGTGTGTGTGTGTGTGTGTGTGTGTGTGTGTGTGTGTGTGTGTGTGTGGGGGGGGGGGGCAACGATCAAGCCTCCCAACCGGCTACAGAATGAGCCGGGAGCTCTCGCTGTAATGTACAGTATGCTGTACCCAGGTCAGGTGCTGCACACCAGGGAAACCGGAGAGGCTTTTGAGGCTTTTCCTCATGGGGTCGGCCAACCTGCTGCCCTCTGAGGTATTTCTGGTGATGCATTATGCAGGACAACAGGGTTGCAAAACAGCCAAATTTCTACAACTATATAACTTTTCTATATCTGCAAATGAATGCATAATGTGTGCGGGACAAGATTATGGTATTTGGATCTAGTTTTCGATACCATTTAGCTTCCTGTTAGCATTTATTTATGTATTAGTATCTGTGTTTAATCCAGACGTAGACGTCGTCTCTCAGCTTCATTCTCGTGTCTTCAGGTGTGTCTAATTGGACCGGACACAATAACCGGCACACGGAAGACGAAAGTCTTGGCCGTGGACGTTAATACGGTCCCTATTCCTGCCACCATCCAAGTGTTCTCCATTAGCCACCTTTCCTTCTCTCAGCAGAGCAAATCATGCCTGATGAATGGGCAGCTCATGCCAGAGGTATGAAGAGCACAGCCGACAACCGAGTTAACAGAAATGCCAACCCCCCCCCACACACACACCTTTATGGCAAGTAGCAAGACGGGGGTGAGCTTTCAGGTCCTTTGGAAGATATATCCACCATGGGTGGCCGGCCTAGGGCCACGTTTTCCAATGCAAGTGTATTTAAAACTTGGTGGCAGACCTGGACCCTGAGTGAGTACATGGAACCAACACAGGGAAGATGCAAATCATTTCGTTCTAAAAAATGTAATAAAAATAATCAGCACTTCCCTCTGCTACATGCACAATGTTGGGGCAATTATGTGAGTGTTGGGAAATGGCTGCTTGCAATCCAGAGAGAGAAAAACAGAAAATGTCCAATGCAACTATGTGGTGCATGAGACTCACTTTTATACACAAGCGTTTTCTTAAGTTATGGTATATTGTGCTTTCTTGGATGTAAGACACCTGCAGCTAGTATAGTGTTTATGGTTTAAAAAATAAATGTCCCCTTGCAGGATAAATAAAGTATCTATCTGTCTAAAATTATGATTCTATAATATCTTACATTTGTTGTGAGCATCACTGGTGTATGAACTAGATGCATTGAGGTATTCCTCTTCAGAATCAGGACACCATCTTTGTTTTGTTTATGCTGAGCATCACTGTTGTGTAACCTAGAAAATGTCGCATTAACACATAACATATATTTACATAAAACAGAATAAATAGCCGTATATCGACACAAAGCCATTATCTACCTTTACACTAATACCATTGTGCATCCCCAGAATGCAGTCTGTCTACACAGGCTAACCGTTACTGTCTCGTGCCTACCACGCAGCCTTTAACGTTACCGAAGCAACACAAAGCAACCGTCTTAAAATCAACTTTATTAACACTTTTATAACCGACAGCACACGAGTGTACAACGCGCGAGAGACGTTGCTAGCAAAGCCGAGTGCCAACCGATAAGAACGAGCGAGCGCGTGCAGCCAGCATCTTGTTGGTGCTAGCATCATTAGCATGTTGGCTAACCAGACTTTTTACCGGATCGATTTTTAAATTAACAACAAATATGCAGCGTTGCTTTGTAACGCCCTAAAGGTTCTAAATGAAAAATAAAATGAATATGTCACGCGCCATAGCGAAAAGTCATAAATGACGTTAGTGTACGTTACACACTCACATGCGCGCGCGCGCACACACACACACACAAACAAAACAAGCTACCTGAAAGCTGGGTCCTCTTTGCTGCATCTCGTGGGAGGCAACGTAAACGCATTCCTCTTGTTGAAAAGTTTCTGGAAGAGAGTCGGAGGCATTTTGTACCAAAAAATCTCTTTTTTCCTTCTTCTTCTTCTTCTTTTCAAATCCGAGAGCAGATCTTGTTCCTTGTAACCGTCTCCATGAGTGTCACACAGTCATATGACAGGCATTAGTCACGCGGAGCTGCTCGGTAACCCCGCTACATTTTTCTGATTGGCTGGTTATTTTTGGACCCAGGGTACCACGTGGTCAGTTGATTTCTTTTTTTTTTTTGCTGTGTTGATGTTTTGTCGTGAATCGTGACGGCATGAAATGTATTCACAGAAATCATACAAGTTAATACACCGAGGAAGCTCTTTGAAAAGACCCCACGTGAGAAAAGTGCAAAAGCCAGGAATGTGCAGAACAAACAGACAAATATCCAACAATAATTATATATTTATTTATTGAACATTAATTCATTTTGGACATTTGTTTTGTAGAACGAGATAACTCACAAATAAAGACAACCACTAAGATAAAAACAAATAAACTTTACATCTTAACTTTTTTTTTTAGCTTACATTAAATATTTAGATGAGGCATTTAAAAGGCATTGACACATGGGCTTAATGTCGAAAGAGTAAATACAAACGCAGATAAAACACAATACAACATATATATTTCACATGTAAAATTGAAACAATCACTGACAGGAGAAGAGAGAAAAGATGAATGTTTAAGAGAATACACGTCTGACATCTAGTGGTCGTTTTGACACTTGTTTTTTATAATAAATATTAAAATAAAAAAGGAAATCCTGGGCTTGTTTGAGTGCATTTTCATTTTCATTGCCACCGTTTGTGCAGCAAGTTATGTCTTAAAAAAACAAGGTCTAGTTTGAGGAGCAGGGCATGTCATCCCTCTGAATTATAATCTTTAAATAATACATTCAAATACTGATTAATCTATGCATCACATTTCATTTTCCATATTCTTTTTGCAGGATATCTCACATCTTCTCATCTAGATTATGGGATTTTGGTCTTCAGGTGTCACATTGGAGAAGATTCCGTGCACTCGAGAGCCGTGAGAGGAAACAAAGGAGCACTCGTGAGTTTCACACACCTCGTCCTCATCCCTATGAAGAAGGCGTCCCGGTCAGCGGCGTCGTTGAAGTCGAAGAACGTGACGTCGTCCGGGCTGCTTGTGACGGGCCGCGTCAACGTCACCGTCAGCCGTAGGGCGTCTTCCGAAGAGCTGACCTCTTCACCTCCGGACACGTGGACCGGATCAGGTGCGTCGTGGACGGATAATGTGGGGGTTTGGGTGTGTTGTGGTCCGAGGGGCTCAGCCATGATGGGGATTTTGAACCAAACCTTCTTCTTGTACAGAATGGGCTTTCTGTTGCTGAGCTGAGGGAGCAGAATTATGTTTGAGTACGTCTGTAATATCTCTTCGTGTGATGGACAGACAGGTGCTTTTCTTACTTTTGGTGGTGTTTTCCACTCGAATGTTGTCTCTGCAGATGGAGGATTTAAAAAAACAACAACATTATTATATTACTCCAGTATTTGGTGCATTGTAGAGTTCAATTAACGAGTCTTTACCTGATTTAAATGGGTCTGCATGTATTTTGGTCTCAGCTTCAGGTCCTCTGTTAATCATTCAAACAGAAAAGACATTAATCAAACCATTTTTTATTATATATTTAATATTGTTTTTATTATTAGTAATTTAAAAAAAAAAATGACTGCATGTTAAGTGACTTTTAAAAAAAGATTAAACTGAGAAACTCACTTGACCTCACAGTTCTTTTCAGCAAGAATCACAGAGGCATCTGCAGAGAAATGTGTATTATTATTATTATCAGACCATTTCAGATATTATATCAGTTATTCAGTTGTTGAACAATTTGTCCCTTCAATATAATTTTTTTATATATATGCATAACTAAAATAAATACAAATAAATATGACATATTTTTAAATGTTTTTTTTATCAGTTGTGAAAGGCCCAAACTGTACATTTCTTTAATTATTTTAATTATATGCACTTCTCAGAATCCACCATAAGCTACAGATGATTAACAGCTAATATATGTTGTGAGTGAGTAATGCTTTCTTTTTTTTAAACAATGTGAATTTGTTATGTTGATTTTATTTTATTTATTTATTTATATTATTTTATTTGTATCGTATCAACTGTCGCACTGAGCTTTCTGTTGTTATTATTGCCTTTATTGTTGCTGCTTTGTATTATTGTTATGACCAACATTATCATGTTTAAAGTTGCAAACAAAAACTTGATATTATTTTA